GGGGCTACCGTTTCAAATTTTTTGACAAGAACTAGCCCGAAAATAACTGAACAAGGCCAAATAGCCAAACACTATAAAGGCAGCTCATTTCTGGAAATGAAAGAGTACAGTTGTGTAAATAAAGATAGATCACTAGTAGGCCTACTGTAAAAAAAGAAATAATATCTCGAATATGACTTTATTTCCCTGGGGATTTTTGCAGAGATTTTTGATAGGGTGCAACCACACCCACACTCCTCTCCCCCACCCCCCTTATCTGATGGGCCTGATCATAAATGCAAGACTCATTGCATCTTTCTACCTTGTAATGCAAGATGTAAAGTCGCAAACTGACATTTACGTTTCTCTAACCTTTATGAAAAATCACATGTTTAAATGCACCAGTAAGATGATTCTGCGACTTAATACTGTTCGACCGCTGTTCTTCTTTTTTTATGTCACAATTGATATATAATTATAAGATGCTTAATGGTATGAAAAATTAAAAATTAGAATAAAACAGAAGGATGAAATCCATAAGCGAAGCAGGAATTGATCATACTGTAGCAAATCATTTTATTTTCTATTAACATCAATTTCTCTTGTAGACTTTTTACAAGTACATGTAATAGATCCCAGCCTACTCATGGACCACTTCCGGGATAATTTCATGTGCTATTGTTTTATAGAAAACAAAATAAATGTAACCTGTAATTAGTTCCTGTAGGATTATGAATCACTCTATAATGGAGTCATGATCCAGGATATGGTTACTTTTATATTTCGATCTATTGTTGTGCTAATACTGCATTGTTTATACAGCTTTTGGGGAAAATGTCTAAATATGAAACTAAGTTGGATTTGAACTTTTTTGTATAAATTCAAATCCTATGTAAATTAAAGTTATGGCTGTTTTTATTTCATGGGCTGAATTTTTTGGGTCATCTTTTAATTCCACACTTAATGAATGACCTTCATATAAAACAAATTGGAATATTAAATAGCAAAATTATCATGTTTAGTCCTGGTATTTCACAACATCTTTTTTCAAAGAAAATTAATGAGGCCAATTGTATGTGACAAACTTGCAAACAAACAAATCGATAGACAAACAGATGGAGGAACAAACAACACACTAAATTAGATTGGTTTGTAGTTTGTACTTTTGTTCTGGTCCCCAGATGATTATCCCTTTAATTTGAAGCCATACCAACTATCAATGACTAATTATTTATTCTCCTGCTCTATTGTTCTTGTAATAGAGGCTCACTGACATAGCTACAGTAAAACCATTCAATTCAAAACATTCCATGAACCAGCTCAATGTGTTGGTATTAAGAGGTATTGTAAATTTAAAGAATTGTTTTACATGGGAGTCAATAGAAGGAAAAACAGGAAAGTGAAAAGTATTCACTGTTCACTTTGGGAGATGTTTGTACTTGGATATGAGCCATGTTCGGATATATATGGTTTTACTGTAGTTGTCAATTGATATAGCTTTTCAGGGAAGTAAGCTTTGATGTAATTAAATCGGAATCACTTGGCATTATCAAGTTTCTCAGTTAATGTATGTGCTCATATGTAGTTTTCATCAATTGTGTTTATACAATGTTGAAGTAAACTCATGTGGGAGTTAGTTTTGCAATAACAAGAATTGTGAGTTAATTCTCTGTGTAGTTGGGACACGAATCAAATATAAACATATTATTATTAAGACTATAGTCTGGATATTATACACATACAGGCAGACAGTAAGTAAATATATAAATATATCAGTTTTTAGTTAAGGACGTTTAGATTCAGGTAAATCACCATAATGAGAATAACTAATAATTCATGAAAAGGTAATGTTTTTCCAAATTAAATGTGGATATTTACATGTTATTGTACGTAGAATGCATAATACAGGATCAAAATACATGTTAAATGATCTAAATCAAAATTTCCCTAATTGTCGTTTTCAATTTTTTCTGAAAGTGCGAATCTACCTTAATAGAATAGGTGCGAGTAGAAATAATCTTGATTTACCTCATCAGATACTCAAAATTCGGTCAAAATGATGTCATATATTGAAATCTTCATGTAAAAGTACAAAGTTTATCAACTTTGAAAATTTAATTGTTTTAAAAATGTGACTTCTAGTTCAGGTTGATTCCCCATAGACCCCATGTTATAAAATCATAATAAGTGAAATATCTTTTCTTGTATTGGACAGGTAATATTTTCTTTTAATGGACATATTTTAATTTGCATAACTATCACATGTCATCTGTCACATTTTATTGTTGATCAATTTGTTAATGAATGAAGTTGAAGATCAATAGTGACATGCAATGTTTAGATTATTTGTTTGTTGTTTACAAGGCAATATATGGCTGACGTCATAGATGACGCTATTATATTCCAAGAATTTGTCATCAAAGCGTGAGACATGATGCCATTTTATATAACATTGTGTAATTTGCACTCTAATGTATTGATGACGTTTTAAACAATAACAAGTCAGGATTTTTTCATAAAATAATAATGAGTAAAGGACGATTCTCGTTTTGGAGAACGAAGTTCATCAATTTAAATGAGCATTATCCCTGCATCGAACACATTTGATTTTTTTTACATAATATAGATTTGAATGTCTTCTTTTGAATAGTCATAATTTAATTTGGGTAATATTTTCTAGATTTTCGCAAAAAAATATTAGCGCAGTACACTGATGAACTTCTTTCTCCAAATCGAGACTTGTATTTAATTGAATCGGTCTAATTGAGCGTTACCCCTGCTTCAGACCAATTTGTTATTTTTACATCTTGTAGATTTAAATGTCCTCTTTTGAATATTCATAGTTTAATTTGGGTAATATTTCTATATTTTTCATGAAAAAAATTATTAGCCCAGGAGACTGTTCTCCAAACCAAGAATCGTCCTTTGAGAATAAAATCTTAAGATTGATCATTATTTAAGTGAGACTGAATGAGGTAAAGCATGGGTGCATACATGCCACTGGGAAATCAGATTGATGATAACTCAAAATTTTAAATGAATGATATTTACAGACATTTTTGTCAGTCTGCAGGCCAACCAAATCTTCATAATCTATTTTTATGTCACCACCAAAAAGTGTTAACATATTGTTATGGTCTCCATTTTTTTGTGACGATGGTTGGCGAGTGGCGGTTGGCATGGTCTGTAACTAATGGTGGTGACATTTTGCATATTAATTCCTCGTTGTTTCATTTGGTGGATCTGAAATTATATGAATGGCAGTATCATCATATTTGACAATTTTGAGAGTTCTCAATAATTATTTTAAACCTCTAAAAGTTGTAAGCTTCAAAGTATCGAAAATGATACTGAGTCAATCAATTGATAATGCAAGTTTAAAGTTGGACTAGTTAAATTCCATCAACCTTGTTCCGCCATTTTGCTCTAGATGTTAATGGCGATGTGTTCTCCAGTCACGTATTGGTATATTAACCTGCAGTTGTGTTATTTGATGAATGTAATCAAGTGAAACCCTGATCAAAATGGAGTCTGGGATTTCCTTGGTGCAACTGCAACCTTTTAAAATCAAGATAGGTTAGAGGCAGATGATAGAATCTACATTGCCAGAATTTGAACCAATTACCTAAAATCAGTACATTGCTAGAATTTGAACCAATTACCTAAAATCAGTGCAATTATGACTATTCGATCACCCATCTCTAATTCTGATAATTGAGGAGCTCTATATCCAGCACATAGGTTGATTTCTATGGTTTATAGGTATTTGTTTTGCACGTGATCTGGTTTCACATTTCTTTGTAAGGTTCAGTTTTCTTTTAATTAAAATAAGGATATTTTTGTCTCTGTATATGTAAGCAGTTCACCTGATTGTACCTTCTAACAATAGCTGACATTAGGTAAATTAAAAGCAACAAGCAACAGGAATGAGATGGGATTAATGACATATAGTGCTCTGATGCGTCAGACAGTTCTATAATTACATACGTTAAAGACACACACTATCGAAAGGCAGCTGCATTTCATTTATTTATTATACTATTAGGTTTAAATCATGGATAGAGATGAAGGATTAGATGATAAAATGTCTCATTTGGTCAGGATAACACGTAATGAAGGTAGATCGATCTTGTTATTGTTTTTTGTTAGTGATATTTAATATCAGATTCATGTTAATATAAATATGTAATGCTCAGGTGGTATTTTTCACATTAAAGGATATCAGATTCAACATCATTTTATAATTATAACCTATATTGAGCTAGGATGTCTTGAATGTTTTCAATCATTTTTGTTGAAGAGAGGAAAGAATTTGGGAAACCATACATTCTCATTTGTTATATTTTGGACATACTGTAAATTTTATATGAATTTGGCAAAACAATTTTTTAAGGACTTGTTTTAATAATATTCTTAGCATGTGGATGTTGGTGTTAATAGAAACAGGACATCAAATTTACTTGAATTTATTGAAATGTTTTTCTCACATACTTAAGTATTAACACGTACTGACCAATACGAATGTAGAATAGCCATAGACGCAGCGCTTGGTACGCACCAGATGGTTGCAAATACTCAAAATACAACTAAATTTCACAATTTTTTGGATGGGAGAACCCCCCCAGACCCCCTGAATGCTTGTTTTTGATTTGTTCAATTCATGTTCTCATGGGTTGCGTACTACTCATATAAATAGCATGATAGCAATGTATTAGCTGAGAGACTAATGCATGGTTGTCCAGATGCCATTATCCAGGCGATCACTTTATGTTCGAAAAATGTTTCCTCGTCAACATATTTTTGTTTCATCATGAGAGATTTTAGCACAAGAGCATATCTTTTATATCATGCCCCCATTTAAATGTATGCTAAAACCTAAAACTTACCAATCAGGCTTGTGTATATATGTCCATTGATAGAATTCATAATTGTATGATCTGAATAAGATCTTGTGCTTTAATTATTTAATTAATTTTTTCAAATATTATAAAACTTCATGATTATAACTCATGTACTTGCAGGTGACAGTACAAGTAATCCACCACCTTTAATAGGTAAAGGAGGGGAAATAAAAGCAAAACGTCCACATGTTCTACATCTTACAAATCCCTTAATAAAAGCCCAGGAGGAGACCAAAAAGACCCTTGTAGTTGACAACCAGACAAGACAACCAATATTTATTAGTAAGAAATATTACTACATAGAGTCTCACCATTGCTACAATATAACAAAACAGAACCAAGGAAATCTGTCTCTACAATACAGAAACAATGATGGTAACCATGGTAACACATCAAAGTATTTATATAAACAATCACCTGATGGAAGAAAAGCTGTTTTGATAGATGATTGTCGTGTGGGGGTACCATCCAGAGGTGGGGAATGTCATTTAACAGAGTACTATGTCAGGTAATAGGAGCTACATTTTCATTATACTATAAGTCTGATGAGTAGACTAGATATATCATGCTTTGATGAAAATTAGTGCCCTGGATCTGTTTTTATGTCACCATGGTGACATTATGTTATAGTCTTTTTTGTGGACAGTGTTTGGTGGGGTCCGCTTCATATTGTTATAGTGAGTCTACAACTTTTTGTTGATGGTGTAAGTTGCAATGACGTCGTATAAGCATGATTCAAGCTATGCTTTTTTAATCAGCTTCATTGTCTGCGATCACTCACTTCTAAAAATGTCCTGAAGCAATACCTGATATTAGATTTCTAGAAATTCTTCAAGAAATCTCAGAATTACAGAATAATTATGAATACATCAATATACGTATATATTAAGTAACATTCTGATACTCATAGCGTCTTTCTGTTTCACCTGAAACATCTCAGGGCTGAGAAGAAATGAGATGTCATGGTATATCATGATGATTAAGTAAGTAATATATAACAGAAACAATAACATACCTATGATACTCATAGCGTCTTTCTGTTTCACCTGAAACATCTCAGGGCTGAGAAGAAATGAGATGTCATGGTATATCATGATGATTAAGTAAGTAATATATAACAGAAACAATAACATACCTATGAAGCAGACAATATGCAATGGATTGTACACGACTAAAACAATGTGCACAATTTTATTTTTTCATGTTTGTGTCTAAATGGTGAAATATTTTCACTTGATCTGTAGAGTAGTAGATAACAGTAGATAACAGTAGATAACAGTAGAGACCAATGCGTTCATTGAAACTGACAAGCTAAGCATTATCAATTACCAAAAATGATAAAGATTTGTTTTGAATTTTACAAAAATTGATGCAACTTCCTTCAAAATTGAGCTAGAAGCTTCAAATAAAAAGCATTTTAAATCTTTTTTTTCCTCTATCGAATGGTGATGTTTCCATTGGTTATGGGGGTGTAGTAGTACAATAACGTCATTTCGAAGGGCAATATATAGTGAAATATTGGACCGAGGGCCGAATGGCTTCTAAACTAGCACTAAAACCCCTAGAACTGGCCTGGCAAGGTGGTAATAATGTCAATTGATGCATTTAACACCTTTTCTCAAGCGGATTATTTTCCATTGAATTGCAGACCTTCATTCAATGCAATAGTGCCCCTGAGTAGAAGTGAATAATCTAAACAAAGTGCATTTTGGAATAATGACCTTGGCAACAAATGTATTATTTGAAACACTGCCAAAGATATCAGTGCTTATCATATTTGAATCAGACTTCAGTGACAATCCAATGATGGTGATATGTAAAGGTTGCACACTTTTATCACTTATTGAATAGTTTACCCTTTGATCACATCAACTTTGCCTTTAAGAGATGATTTTACAGTTTAGATGCTGATCTCAATGAACTCAGGTGGATCTTCCATATCCTATTAATAAGCACAAAATGTTAAGTACTGGTTTTCTGATTAACATTTGTTTGATCTAAGAACTATTTGTAATTGAGAGGGTAGGTAGAGTGACTTCTGTGTCAGGGTTAAGATAGTTGAGCTATTCAAACATAGTGGAAGTAGATATTGAAAGATATACAAACATAGGAGTAGATGTTTAACTACATATTTGTAGATGTTTAACTTCATACCTGTATAATGGGTCCAGGTACAGTATATAGTTATGGCCAGCCTATAAGAATATATAATATCAAAACAAATAATACAACATTGAAGCTTTGGACATAACACTGATAAGGTATGGCTGGCTCTGTTTCAACTGGAATAGATTTATTTCAATTTATAGACAATGTTTTGTATTTTGCAGGGATGTATCTGATGTAAATGAAGAGACGAGGAGCGTGCCTAAGCAAGGCATGCCTAAACCTAGTAAAATGCACAAGCAAGATACAACGCACAGTCACGATCCAAAGCACAAGCGTTCTTCAACAACACAATTGGAGATACGCTCGGGCAATCTTACTCGGAGTGCTTCTATAGAGGATATAATGGAGCGCTACATTCCTAAAAACGGTAGCAGTAAACTCTTACATGAAATGAAAAAGCATGGTTCAAATAGTCGTTTACGTTGTGCTTTGGCATATACTGGAGCCAAATATGGTGCTACCCCTGTGCTGTCCTTAGCAACCACATCTCATGTGACCAATGATCCGCCATCTCCAAGTAGTATGATATACAGGGCGAAATCAGCCTCTAATTTGGACAAATCGCCTGATCCAGGTTGTTTTACTGGTCTTTGTAATCGTGATAGAGTATCTGACCCATGGAGTTCAAAGGCGAGTGAATCAAGGAATAAGGGAGTTTACCCTAAGCACACAAACCGTTGTAGGAGTAGTACTTTCACAGAGGGCTATATATCTCATGGCACTTATACTCCCTATAGATCGCCAGAGAGAGTCGTTGATTCAGGGAAAACAGACAATACTAAAGAGGATAAAGACTTAAGTGCAGGGAAAAGAGACTTAAATGCAGGGAAAAGAGACTGCAGTGGAAGTGCAGGGGAAATAGGCTTTAATGTAGAGAATAGGGACTATAGTGCTAATGAAAGAGGCCTGGGAAACAAAGACTATATTACTGAAGACATGGCTGGGAGCCAGGGTTACGTACCTTACAAAAGGGTAGTAGATGTGCATAAAAAAACCATCAGTGGCACAATGTCAGAACCTACCACATGTAAGCCATCTGCTACGGCCCCATTACCAAAGACTTACACGAGTGAATATGTTCACAATATACAATCAATCAAACAGGATGTTAAGAAATCTGGTAGTCTCGGTACAACGAGTGATTACGTATCTGATCCTGAACTTTTAAGCAAGCCTTATATGAACTATATTGACACACTACCTTCCCGCGCCTCCCTCCTTAGCCCTGTAAGTGATGGCAGGGGCAGCCGGAGATCTAGTGCCGGAGATTCAGCAGTAGATATGACCTCCCATAGCGAAGGGGAGCGGTCTCCTGTAGAGTACCATGATTGTTCCCTAGAGGCCCATTATAGTACACTGTGTAGTAAACTAGATCAGACTGTTCTCCAAGCTTCTCAATCACAATCTAGTTTTACTGAGGTTGACAGTTTTAACATATCAAGTGATCAGCCTGTGGATGATACACCTATGAACAGTGCCCTTACTAGGCCGAAGCTCTCAAACGCAAATATTCCGTCTTTCACCAAATTGACTCCGCCTTCATTCAATGTGGCCCCACCCTCCGTTGTAATCAGCGATTTCAGCCTTAGTCACCCAGCATATCACGAAGACAAAGAAAGCTGCACCAAACAGTCTCAAGCACCCAGTACAGCAGAGGGGGATTTATCCCATGTGCCTGAGAGTGCAATGGGGGATATTACCCAGGAGCCCCAGTGTGCAATAGAGGATATTTCCCAGATATCTCCAAGTGCAATTGATGATGTGCAATCAAAAGGGCTAACTACAAATGACAGTCTTTGTGTCTCAATGAAACTAGAAAGATCCAATAGTACATCCAGTATGAGTTCGTTCATGTCAGATTCGTCCATCTCGTCAATGCGTGTGTTAATGTCAGATTCCTCATTCTCCATAGATGATGATGAAGCACTTACTAGTACTAGGGTCATCAAACAGAACAAGGTGAGAGAAATTACATTTGATTTTTCTGGCCAGAGAACTTGTTAGAACTTTTTCTATCCCCTGTTTTTAATCTGCCATACTATGATAAAAACTCTGGTAATTTCACAAATACGACCTGGCGATCTGAACACCAATCGAACAAAAGTTTTTGCTCAGGCCCAGTGAAGTTTGGATTTGACAGGTTTTACAGTACAAATCTGTCATGATTGTTATCTGTCTCTTATGATATACATATTGAACACATGAACAGAGGTATATGACGAGGTCTTGTGTCCTTTGTTCTGTGACATCCTATTTTTCAGGATTGATATTAATAATCCCGTCCTTGTCTCTCATAAGTCTTTTGTTGTCTCTAAGTGGAATTGTTCTCCAGGAAATTACTTTTTTTCACAATCACGATCACAATCTGATTGATTGTACCAGGCACTGTATAATTATACAATAAGGGAAGAATCCATGTATATGCAGACTGAATTGTCCAAGCAATTGAATTACATCATGCTTGGTATGCTATGTGGTGGACTTTCAATCAGTCTGTTGTAAGGAACAATAGAATAAGTATTAGAATAACAGGATTTCGGTAATTGTTCTATGACAATCGTGTCTTATTCATTTCTTTGATAACTGATCCTATAGCAGGGGTTTCTCACAACAGGCTAAATAAATGAAAACAACAGGAAAAACTAATGGAAATCCCTGGGGAAAATCATAAATCTAACATGGAAAAGTTTTAAAGTCCCTTAAAACAACAGGCGATTATGTGAAAACTACCGGTGAAAATCGCCTGTTGGCTGCTGCTAATGGAACCCCTGCTATAGATTGTATGCATTCCTTTGAATTAGTGGTGTGCATCGATGGTATAAAGGATATTCCTTGTCAGACTTTTTCTCTCCTGATATGGTAGCAATAATCATATATAGTACCATTTAGCAAAACATGGAAAAACATTTTGATATGGTCAATATTGATCATTTAAAAATGTAGTACTCATTTCCAGTAAGCTGCCATCTTTTAAGATTTTATTTATGGACAATTTTCTATTGGGCGATAATTCATTGGTTTTCCTTTTAATTCACCATTTCTCAAGTCTTGTTTGCAGATTTCCATTCAGCCGTGATATTTAAGTATTACTGAATCAGGGTGATTATCATGTTATTATGTGTATTTCTGACAATGTTTTACAATAAATTATATCAAATCGTGTGAAAGAATATGATTTTATTTCACCAGTTTGAGTTTACTTATTTGACCAGAAATGAAGTTGGGCATTTTTCCTCGTAGTTTCCCCATGAGCATTAAATAAATGGTAGTTGTTTGGCAGTTTGAGATTCAAGCTTAGTGTTGTCAAAAGTAGTTTGTTGTAGTTCTATTATTAATTGTCAATCATGGTAATTATTAATTCTGAATCCCAGATTTATATTTTTGTGAAATCTATACTATGCGTCTGAGGTGTTGAACCTCAGACGCACAGCAGAGAACTAAAGTAGAATATATTTAGACACACTAAAGCAATGACGTAAGCATACAGTATGTACATACATGGAAATACAAGTGCAATAAAGTGCTACACTTAGCATGTCAAACTGACATTCGGGTGTCAATCAGTCAATGATGTCTTGATAATCAGTTAATCGAGTATTAAGAATCTTAATCGGTTAAAAACTTGTCAGTCGATATAACACTTGATTAGAACGACTTTGGGTGACTGAAAGTCAATAACCTGATAATCTGGCTCGATGCATGTCTAAAAGATCAGCTTCCTGCCAAGGCAATGATTGAAATCACAGGTGACTCCCTCATAAGTGCTTATAATTTCTAGATCTTAGAAAAGGTGATCAGCCTTTTATGTGACAATTCATAGATTGATATCATGTTAATAATATGTAAGCATGTGTATTTATATACATAAGATTTTAACACATATTCTGAGTTTTTTTGGCCTGACCCCAGGGATGAGTATGGGGTATTGAAAAAATGGCAATTTTCATTAATTTTGAGATCTCTCTGAAGTAAAGATACTCAAAGAAAATGTATTTTATGCAGCCTTGGGCGCTATATTGTGATCAGTTTTTTTCTGTTCTCTGCCTCACAAAATCGTAAATGATTTCCTGAAGAGAGGAATATGGTTTAATTTTGAGATCTCTTCAAAGTCTGGGTTTATTATATTCAAATCAATGGTATAGTAAATATCACAAATGTTCAATCATTTTGTGCCTTGGAGTCCAAGAAGTGCTTTAGAGCTAAATATACTTTGATAAAAATATATTGTGCTTTAACAAGGATTTGCTATTCGGGAAAGTTGTTATTTTTTAGTTTGACATTCAAAATATTAAAAGATGACATTCAAAAATGAAATCAAATTGATTTCTTCCAGCTAGATTGATTTAGGACCATGTTATAATCTATCAGCTTTGCTTTGAATAGATAAAGGTATTCATTCAATTTTAGAATCAGGGCATTGTGAGATCCACAGCAAATATTATCCTTTGGAAAACTGGAAGTGTTAGATGAAGTGAGACTCAGAAATCAGAATGAAATCAGGGTGTTGTATTCTGAATCCATTTCCTGTATACTGGATGAATATAACTTGTTGCCTGTAGTCATGCCATACCATTGTTCAATTAATTTTGTTTCATGGACAAATGATAGGGATTAGTTAGCCTGCTTTATGAAATTAAGACCTATCATAAAACATATATGAAGTTTCATAATATATCAGTCTGTATCCATGGTAACTGCATTGATATACCTGTATGTTATTGATGGATTCCTTGTCACGTTTGCAACTCTTCGTAGTGGCTTAGCAAGCGTTCTTATTTGAGGGAGGATTAGGGATTCTGGGACAAGTTCCCTTGTAAATCATAGAATGTTGATGGGATTTATTGCAACCTGAGCGTTTGTATATGTTTAAATAGATACCAGTACTCTGTAAATAGAGTTGAACATTTTAGAATATGTGCATTTACAAGAGAAAATTTTGCAAATAAGAATAGTCTATGTTATACTTTACCCCCCCCCCTCCATCCCACATTCACAATTTTATGTGTTTTTTTTTGTATTCTGTTTTGGTTCTCTTATATGTTGTCAGCTTTGGAAGAATTATTCTAATTTCTCTTTTATTTATTTATTTATTTGATATAGTATCATTTTTCTGTGGGAAATATTGTTTTTCTCTGATATACCCCAGTTGTATGTATATGTTACAGCTTCAATCATATTGGAACAATTTTATGAAAATAACTTCATAGTGATAATATAGATGTCTCTTGTAACTATTTGTAGATGGATTCTAATCAAATTCACATCTTTCCCATTTGCAACTTCATGTAATTAAAAAATTATCTTAAATGGATATAAGGATGTCATATGTTCTGTCCTGCTATCTGATATCATATATTATAATATTTGATCCGTACATACTGTGTTTTCTTAGAATACTGGATGGATACCACACTGGATACCAGAGCAATTCCAAACTGAGATTGTCTGTTTTAAGAATGGATTGGAATTTGCTTCAGACCCTTATGCCCCCTCCCTTACAACCTCTACTTCACTTCCACACCTTACCTCCATACCTCATCTCACACCTTACCTCTATACCTCACCTTCACACCTTACCTCTTTACCACACCTACATACCTAACCACATCTCACCTCCACACCTTACCTCTATACCTCACCTTTCACCTTACCTCCATACCTCAACCCATGTCTTATCTCCATACCTTACCCCTATACCTCACCTTCATACCTCACTTCCATACTTTACCTCAATATGACCAAAGATTTTATTTTGTCTTCTTTGCATTTAGATAATGACATCTATGTTTAAGATTTTCATGTGTACTTCAATTTCATATAGCAAATATAGAATCAACTATTCACAGTGTACATGTATTTCTGTTTTAAGAGTGTAGCATTCATTCAGACTAAAATATTTCACCTTTAATGACATATTTCCTCAATTAAATAAAAGTCATGTATATGCCAAGTCTAATCATTGATTCCTCAAAGATATAAAACATAAAACTATTATTTTATGTACTAATGTAACTTGTATCTTTTTGGGTGGTCAGTTGAGGGTATAATTAAGTTGAAAATTTAATTTTCTGGATGTTTTCTTTTGATGGGTAACATAGGCTCTTCAAAAATCAGATTGATTTCATATATTCACAATGGTTGCATGTATTTGACATATTGCTCAACTTTGGTATATGTGTATTATGAGGTAACACATAAAGTACTTTATGTTGACATAAGGTGTATTTTACAGGCAATTTATATCATAATTGGGAGATAACATGCAGTTTTAAGAACCAGGGTTTGATTGTAATTAAATCAATCAGTGATAAAGGCCAATATGTTTTACAGCTGACATGTTAATTAAAAGAAAAGTGAGGAAATAAATTTCAGAAGCTTTATTTCAATCTTTGATATATGGAGATACAATAGACACAGAATGCATAAAATTGATGGTGAAAGTTATTCTGATACTCATCACATCTTTCTGTTCCCAACCAACAATATTTATAGAATGGAACTGATACGATAGTAGTCTGTGATCTCTCAGCTGTAGTTCATTCAGCTCCCTATGTGCGAACATGGGGGTCTCTTATGATTTTTGAAAGTGAATGTATACCACATTCTCATACTTAAAGGATCTCTCACTCTTCAGGTCCATAGCCAGGGAGAGCGGAGGGAGCAGCCACCCCCCCCCCCTCCCTTCTCCCTGGCCATATATTCTTTCAAAACCATGCTGTTTTTTTCACCATTCTGAGCACCTGTCACATGATTTTTTAGCCAAAACTGTCAAAAGCTCACCCTTGTTAATTATCTCCCTGGTAAAAGCTGGCTATGGCCCCACTGTTGCATTACAGAAGGATGGAGATGAAAAAGTTGTGACTTACCACGATACATATAATACATAACCATATTGATCAATCAGTTTAAATCTTTAAAACTATAATCAGTATATATTTAAAAAACTATGTTATCTGATC